TCCCTTTTTCCTCTTCTTCTTTTTTAAAAATATATCAAGATTAAAAGAAATTATCCACGTTGCAGGAGGCTTGCAAATATACGCTTTAAAAAATCTTTCGTTACCGTCGATCGAAGTTTCAATTAAACGGCCATTATCATTCATAATTTGCGCGAATGAACGAATTAATTCCCTTTTTCTTTGGTAATATTAAGATTGAAAGTTTCGAAATTATATTATAGATTCCTGCACAAAAACTTGCACAATCAGCCCTTCCACTTATATACCTAAATATACGTTTTAAAAAATCTTTCGTTACCGTCGATCGAAGTTTCAATTAAACGGCCATTATCATTCATAATTTGCGCGAATGAACGAATTAATTCCCTTTTTCTTTGGTAATATTAAGATTGAAAGTTTCGAAATTATATTATAGATTCCTGCACAAAAACTTGCACAATCAGCCCTTCCACTTATATACCTAAATATACGTTTTAAAAAATCTTTCGTTACCGTCGATCGAAGTTTCAATTAAACGGCCATTATCATTCATAATTTGCGCGAATGAACGAATTAATTCCCTTTTTCTTTGGTAATATTAAGATTGAAAGTTTCGAAATTATATTATAGATTCCTGCACAAAAACTTGCACAATCAGCCCTTCCACTTATATACCTAAATATACGTTTTAAAAAATCTTTCGTTACCGTCGATCGAAGTTTCAATTAAACGGCCATTATCATTCATAATTTGCGCGAATGAACGAATTAATTCCCTTTTTCTTTGGTAATATTAAGATTGAAAGTTTCGAAATTATATTATAGATTCCTGCACAAAAACTTGCACAATCAGCCCTTCCACTTATATACCTAAATATACGTTTTAAAAAATCTTTCGTTACCGTCGATCGAAGTTTCAATTAAACGGCCATTATCATTCATAATTTGCGCGAATGAACGAATTAATTCCCTTTTTCTTTGGTAATATTAAGATTGAAAGTTTCGAAATTATTCATGTTGTTCCTGCACAAATACCTACACAACTAGCCCTTACACCTATATAAATATACGCTTTAAAAAATCTTTCGTTACCGTCGATCAAAGTTTCAATTAAACGGCCATTATCATTAATAATTTGCGCGAATGAACAAATTAAGCTTCGACAAATTAATTCCCTTTTTCTTTTTTAATATTAAGATTGAAAGTTTCGAAATTATTCATGTTGTTCCTGCACAAAGACTTACACAACTAGCCCTTACACCTATATAAATATACGCTTTAAAAAATCTTTGGTTACCGTCGATCAAAGTTTCGAATTAAACGACTATTATCGTTCATAATTTGCGCGAATGAACG